GGGAGGGAGGGAGGGAGGGAGGGAACACCGTCTGCAGACCTGACGTGTCGTGAGTTCAGACAGAGACATTTTGGGGAGAGTCCGAGGCTTTCTTGCTTGAAGAATTCGAGCTCTATGGCACGGTGTGCCCCTTTTTTGGGCAGCTTCGACGGGGCGCAAAATCAACAGTTCTGTTGCAATAGGCGGGCATGTTTTCGTGACACAGCCCTGCACATCTCGCATCTCGGAATCTTGCATTGGACGAGTCTGGATGCTGAATCTTTCACACAAGCCTACTTTCTAAGTCCACCCTGGGCACGAAACTTGGCTGAAGGTTTGCTGACAGTCGGGCATCGACACACCTACCCGAAACACCAAACCGCAAACTCAGACTCTTGAGCCGCAACAACCCCGAAGTCGAACCCGGTAGCTCCTAAACACTTAAGTTTCAGAGCAAAACCCTTGAATTAATAAGGCAATAATAAGGGCTTAATAAGGCCATAANNTTGGCCATAATAAGGACCCCGAACCCCAAGCCCCTAAACCCTGAGCCCTTCTACACTGCCACCTGGCTGGTCGAAGTTGTAGACAGGACCCTTCAGGTCATCACATGCCCCGCGCACCTTCGAGCACTTGGGTTTAGGCTTAGGGCTTTTGGGGCTTGAGGGCTTCAGGATTTTCAGTTTTGGGATTTAGGATATCGGGCCCAGGGCTTATATAAGGGTTGAGGGTTTCGGTGTTTAGGGTTTCGGGGCTTGGAGTTTCGGGTTCGGGGCTTGAAGTTGGGTGGCGTTCAGGGTTTGAGGTTTGGCGGGCATCAGACGGGGTTGCAATTGTAGGGGCGTGCGGTTTAGGATTTGGGGGGCCGTGGCTGAGGGTTTAGATAGGTCTAGTCCTGCAGGAAGCCCCTGAACACAACAGACTCCTAATTTGGACTCTGAGACATGATGAGGACGCCTCTGTGACCCCGACATTCCGAAAAGCCACATCTCAAGGCGACCCTACACCCAAAAACCCGAAACCCGTAGAGGCTACCCTAAACCCTAAGCCCTAAGCTTTAAAACCCAAGCCCTAAGCCCTGAACCAGAACCTTCAGAACACTTAGACTGCTATCTCGCTCCTTTCCCTGCTCAGCCCCATGCTCTCGGCTAGAAACTAACTCGAAGCTCACCCAAACTCCAACTTTAATTTTTAAACCCTCAAGCTCAAAACCAAAATCCCTAGCTTCCCAAACCCCAAAGCCCAAACTCGAAACCCTCGACCCCTGCTAGCCAGCTAGTCTCTGAGCCCAAGCAGTAGAGTTCCCGGGATAAAGGGGCGGGTCTCTTGTCCTGAATACAAGCTCTCTATAAGATCACGAAACCCTGTCATACTCACTATTAAGCAACATAAGGGCTCTATTGAAAAGGGGCTGGGGGGGGGGGG